ATGGATGGATGGATGGATGGGGGATGGATGGATGCATGGATGGATGGTGGATGGATGAATGAATGGATGGTGGGTGGATTAATGGATGGTGGATGAATGGATGAGTGGATGGTGGATGGATGCAAGGTTGGATGGTGGATTGATGAATGGATGGATAATGGATGGACGGATGGATGGATGGATGGATGGATGGATGGCGGATGGATGGATGGTGTGTGGATGGTGGGTGGATGAATGAGTGGTGAATGAATAGATAAGTGGATGGTGGGTGGATTAATGGAAGGATGGTGGATTCATGGATGGATGGATGGTGGGTGGATGGATGGATGAATGGTGAATGGATGGATGGATGGATGCATGGATGGATGGTGGATGGATGAATGAATGGATGGTGGGTGGATTAATGGATGGTGGATGAATGGATGAGTGGATGGTGGATGGATACATGGATGGATGGTGGGTGGATGGATGGATGAATGGTGGGTACATGAATGGATAGATGATGGGTGGTGGGTGAATGGATGGAAGCATGAATGGTGGGTGGGCAGATGTATGGATGGTGGCTGGGCAGATGGATGGATGGTGGATGGGTGAATTAATGGTGGATGGATGGATGCATGGATGGATGGTGGATGGAAGATGGAACGAATGGTGGATGGATGGATTGATGGATGGATGAATGAATGGTGGGAAGCATGGACAGATAGTGCATGGGTGAAGAGTGGATAGGAAGAACAAGAACAAATGGATGGATGGACAGATGGATGAACGGATAGATGGATATACATATGGATAGATAGGTGGATGGTGAACGGTAACTTCACCATCATGGTTGGTTTTGTGGGTAGATGGGTAGATGTGGGAGAGCAGGAAGATACATGGATGCATGGATGGATGAATGGATGGATGGATGGATGGATGGATGGATGGATGGATGGATGGTGGGAAGCATGGACAGATGGTACATGGATGAATAGCGAGTAGGAAGAACAGATGGATGGATGTATGGATGGATATGGTATGGATATGGACTGATAGGTGGATGGTGAATGGTTACTAGGTTGGTTTTGTAGGTGGATGGGTAGATGTGGGTGGGTAGGTAGATGGATGGATGGATGGATGGATGATAGGTGAGCGACTGAATGAACTGATAAAATCACAGATGGATCTTACTACCTGATCAACTTGGAATGATAATGAATAACCCACTGGCCAAGTCACTGGGCAAAGTGTGCTGCTCATTTTGCCTCCCTCCTCCCAGAAAAGAATGTTAAACACAATCAGGCTCCCTGGGACTCCCCCCGCCAAAAACACCATGCTTCCACAGGGGTAGGGGCGCAGGCTAAAAAGTCATGGTCTTTTGGGAATCATGACTGTCGCTCTCTCCGGGCCCCTGGACCTGAGGAAGCAAGCCTAAGATACTCACACAGCTAGGGCCAATTGTCACTGGGGCCAGAGTGGTAACGGTGCCTAGTCCAGACGCTGCCCAGTCTAGGCTCACTAGCTTTGTCTGTGATTGAGGAAAAGCTGGGCCAACGAGGCAGGGAACTTGCCAGCCCAGCAGTGGCCCTAAGAGGGCTGAGAGCCACATTTTCTGAACCCCTCTCCTGCTTCCCGCCAGCCCTACCTCGGGCTTCACGGCCCTCCTCCCACCCAGGCTCCCACTCCCCTGGGCTTACTGGTTAAGGATGCAAGTATCAGAAGCATTTCCTTGGAGAAGGCAGGACAGCTGCCCCCCTTGGCTGGTGCTAATTACACCAGCCACAGTTTATTGAGTACCTATTATGTGTTGGGCACTGTGGCCTAATGTTCCACGTGCACTGTTCCTCATAATAACCCTCTATGAGGTAGCCAGTGCTATGTCCCCATTCTACAAGTGGGCACACCAAGGAGAGGGCTGCCTGGCACTCAGCTAATGCTCAGAGCTGGAATCCAAGGCCTCATCCCACCAGTTCTTGACCCCTGGCTTTGACCAGCCACCCCAACTCCCAGGAGAATCTGGCAGCTGCTGGTCCCCAAACCAGAAGAGGCACCCACCCTGCCTTCCTCCTGGAAACTGGCTCAGACACCTGCCTCAATGCCAGAGTTGGCCGGGGCAAACCTCCCCCTCCCCACCACCACCGCATGGGAAACACTAATTCACTGCTGAGAGTGAGCAACTCCCAGGGGGAGGTGGGAGATGAGCAGAGTCAAAGAAAAAAGATAGGACAAGTCATGAGTTCAATAGCTGTAGATTGAAAAATCATCATGACAGCTTCCAAAACACCAGTTCTTCCAGCCACAAACTTCCGTGTTTTGGAACTAGCTGGCTCTGGTCTGTGGGGGTCACCACCGCTGAGCTTGGACTCAGGGTGAGTGGGGGGCCAGCAGTGCAACTTGACAGGAGGCCTGTCTTCACAGCCAGAAGCTGGGGTGACCTAGGGAGTCCCAGCCCTCAAGACACTGAAACCACAACCATCTCTCAGGAATGCATGGTTCCAGGCGCTGGGCACGGCAGGTTATCGAGAGAGTTACACTTGAAGGGGACACCCACAGATCCAAGAGGAAACTGATGATAACGTTTTGAGTATGTGGGGTGTGGTGACACAAGCATGTAGTCCCAGCTACTAGGGAGGCTGAGGCAGGAGGATCGCTTGAGCACAGGAGTTGGAATCCAGCCTGGGCAACACAGCAAGACCCCAGCTCTTCCAAAGAAAGCATGACAATGTGTCTCAGAGTGACTGGAAGGCCCTGTCTTAGCAAGGGTGTCTCTCTCTATCATAACATTCAAGCTGGGACCTAAATGACTAGGCGGCAGCGGTGAGCAGACGAAAGAGCAGGTCAGACAGAGGTCACAGCCAGGGCCCCATGGCAGGATGGAGCATGGAGGGTTTCAGAAGCAGCACGGAGGCCAGTGTGGCTGCTGTGAAGAAAGGGGCACAGGAGTGGACCAGGACAAGGGTTTCAGAGGCGACTGGAGCCATGCGGGTCAGGGTCTGACTTGGGTTCACGAGGTGACCCCAACTGCTGTGCAGAGGGTAGTCATAAGGACTGGGTAGAAGGCCCTGGAGGGGACTGGCAGGAGGAGACAGAGGCTTGGACATGGAGAGAAGCCAGGAGCCTGGGAAGGCTCTGGAGGTGGAGCAGCTGGCCTTGCTGATGGATGGGGGCAAAATCCCCAGGCCAGAGGTGCCAGAGCAGGGCGTCTCTTCTGCAGGGCTCTGGGGGTATTCCTGGACGCTCTGGGGCCAACCCACCAAGGGGGAGCATGGGTGGTGGGCAGGATGACCAGAGCCCCGCCTCTCTGGCCCAAGCAATGAGTCAGGTACCTACTAGACTGGGGGCACCTTCCCTGGCCTCTTCCCCTCCCCGGCCTCTATGTCTCCACATAGTCAGAGAAAGCAGGAGTGTAAGATAGGAAAGACAGCCAGGGGACTACACCGCAGGGTCAGTGCAGCCCAGAAATGCCCCTGATGCCACAAAAGGGCCACACCCCAAACACCACAACAAACAACTTACTGAGGAAACAGCAAACTGGCTCACTGGGGAGCCAGCCTCCTGGGTGGAAAATGGCCACTGACTTTTGTGCCTGTGCTGGGCCTCAGAGTTCCCCTCCAGAGAATGGGTCTAATTCCAAGGACCCAGGATATGACAGTCAACTATTGTCCAGGCAACCCCACCCCAAGTGAGGACTCCCCTATTCCCCGTCCCCAGAACGCTTGCTGCCAACTTGGCCTAATAGGCGAGGTGAGTGCCAGGCTCCTGTAGGAGCCCAGTCACAGCATTAAAGCCACCAACTAACCAAGCAAGCAAACAGAAGGGGGCAGGGGGTGTGGCCACCTGGTGGGAATACCCTCCCCAGAAGACGCTGGCTGCTTCCTCCAAGAGGAGCTGGAGGTGTCCATGTGTGGAATCTTCTCACCCCTGGAAGTCAGAGGGGACCAGAAGCAACTTCCTGGGCCCGGGAGGGCCTCCAGCCTCCCACAAGTCTCTCCGAAGTCCAGAGGGGCCACAGACTTGGTGCAGGGAAGCCAAGAAGTAAGAGTCTCCCAGAAAGGAGGGTGGGTGGCTGACAGGGTGGGGCCCTACCCAGCTGTGCCAGGAGGGAAAACGTCCCAAACAAATGGCGAGCAGTTAACTAAAGAACTGTCCTGCAAGGCAACCCCTGGCGCACAGTCCTGTGTATACTAAATTCTGAGACAGATAAAAGGAGAGAGACGGTAAGGGCAGGGGCGGTGGCCCTGGGGCATCAGGCCCGTAGCCAAGGCAGAGTGGGTTAGGAACGGCCACCACCCTGGGCGATGGTGGGGCTGGAGACAGCGGCGGGCGCTAGGTCGCTCCAGAAGGACGCCGGCGGCCCGGGTAAAGTGCTTGGGAGCAGTGGTCACAGCGCACAGAGGCCCATGGCAGGATGGAGCAGGGGTCTGAGCCCGTGCGCCCCAGAGCCGAGCCCTCCTAGGCCGGGAGGGAAGCCTCCCCATCCTGGGCGCTCGATGCGTCCCCAAGCACCGCCGGTCCTCGCCCCGCTCTGGGCCCCACCCAGCCCGCCCCGCGGCCGAGATGGGCCAGGGGCCGGGTCCCGCCTGCCCGCGGAGAGGCCAGAGGCGCACGGTGGCGGGATGCGGGCGCGGGGTGCGCAGCTCCAGGAGCTAGAGCGATTCCCGCCCCCTTCAAGGGCACGCGGGCTGACCCCGGCAGCGCCGCGCCCCCTCCCCGCCGGGGCCCCCAGCGCAGGCTCCCGCCCGGGTTCTTCTGGCCCGCCTGGCCCGCGTCGCCGCCCGGGGGATCCGGATCGCACCCCGCCCTTAGCCGCCCTCACGCCGCGCCCGGGCGCTCACCCAGCCCGCGCCCTTGGCCGCGCGGCGCCAGGAGGGCGGGAGAGCAGCCCCGCAGCCCAGGCGCCCCTCCTGCGCGGCGCCAGCCCGGCCGCACCGCCCCCGCCGCCCGTGCTCCGGCCCTGGGCCCGGCCCGTCTCGGCGCCCCAGCCGCTCTGGCCCGGGGCGCACCCGCGCCCCGCTCACCTGACATCTCGTCCTCGTTCTCCATCTCCTCGGCGAACAGCCGCGGCAGCTCCTCCTCGGTGCCCAGTGGGCCCCGCATGCCCGGCGCGGGGAGGAGGGGAGGTGGGCGCCCCCCCTCCCGCCGGGCGCGGTGCCAGCCTTAACCCGTGCGCTGCCGGACGGGCGCGTGCGGCGGGCGAGGCGGCCTCGGCGAGAAGATGGCGGCCGCCTGCCCCCCCCACCCCCCCAAACCTCCACCCCCCCGTCTCGACCCCCCTTTCTCTCGGCCGCCTTAGCCTGCTCCCCGCAAAGCCCGGGCGCTCCGCCCACCGCACCCCGCAGCCTGAGTCCCGCAGCCCGCCGAGGGTGGCGGCGGCAGCGCCGGAGGCACGGCGGCACGGCGGGGGGGCGGCACACATGCCCGGATTGTGACGTCCAGTCTGGTTGCTGTGGCAACCCCATCCCATCGTTCCGGCAGCGCTACTAGTTAACAGCAGAGAACAAGTTGGGGGACTAGTCCTGAGGGGCCGGGTGAGGGTGGGGACTGGGGAGCGCCCCGGCAGGGGGAGCCGTCGAGGCGTCCGCACGCCTGGGGACCCGACGGACGAGCGAGCAGCCGGGATTTGGCGAGCCCGGGCGCAGGGGGAGGCGAGGCGCACCCGGGGCAGGATGAGCCGCCGCCGCTTGCCTGCTAAGGCACTGGGCCCCGAGCCCCGGAAGGGCGCGGAGGCGGGGTCTTCAGGGCAGCGCGCGGCCCGCTGCCCCACTCGATTCACAGGCGCCGGGACCCGCCCCGCACGCGGCTCCGGCCTCGGCACGTTCCTAACCCCCTCTCCAAAGAGATTTAGAAGAAAAATGTGTTCCACACTTTGGGAAAAGACGCTCTGGAGACTGTGGGTCTGATTACTGCCGAAAAATCCGCGCAGGCGGGCTCCCCTCACTTGCTTCCCCGCTCCCACCGCCCACTTGCCCTCTTCCAAAAAGCCCCTCCAGGCTGGGTCCAGCTCAAACCCATGCAGACCCCTGGGGGTGGTGCGGATGTGCGATGTCTGTGCCCAAAACTCCCGCTCAGAAGCGACACCTGTCGCAGAGCAGGAGGGAGCCGCTGCCACCAGCCCTCGGTCGTTAAAGGTAAAGATGGAGGCCAAAGCCCTCGGGAGCAAGACTGGAATTTTAAATAAGCGCCTCCAGTCTCCGCGGCGGCAAGTCTTAAAGCTACCTTAAGAAGGCAAAAGTTCCAGGGGCTGGCCGACCGCCAGCTCTCTAACCCCAGAAGGCCCGTGAAGGGAGGAGGGTCTTTCACTGCCGCGCAGGGGCACTGGGGGATCCCACCTGAGACACGCAGGATCGGCAGCAGTTTTCCGCTTCTTCCCGTCCAATTTTATTGCCAGCAAGCCCCAAACAAAAGACCCTCTGCATTCATCCCTGGACAAGGAGAGGTCGGTCCAGCCTTCTGGAACCAAAGACTGGGGTGTTGGGAACCCCTCCATCTCCCAGATCCGCTTTAACCACGCTGTAGATAGAGACGCTGGATCAGCCCGGTACTGGCCGCCTGCAAGGGGAAAGGAACCTTCTTCAGGGAAGCAGTCCAGGAAACCAAAGGGCCTCCCCTCCCAAGGCTGTGTTTCCCCCACAGAGCCGCTAGCCAGGGGGAGCCCCAGATCACTAAGGCTTGAACCAAACCTGCTTCTTCCTCGTTTCCAGACCAACTGTCTCCCTAAATGGTAACCACGAGGGAAGAAACCCCTAAGCTGACATGCCCACCCCTCAGTTACCAGCTCCCCAACACCTCTCTAACCCCTTTCAAAGGTCCCCTGCCCTTTGGTAGAAAAACTCTGATTTACAATATTTCTCATCACCAGAAAGCCGCCCCCATCATTAACCTTGGCTCCAATTCCCAAGGCGAGGCTGAGAAAGTCAAGATATCATTCAAGAAAGAACAGTTCTAACTGCTTAATTTGGCAACAAATTAGAGCCGAGATGCTCATCAGTCATAATCCTCTCCCCATCCTGTTCTTCCCTATGACTGCAACTAGGTAATATTATTTAATGTCCAAAGGCAAAATGAAACAAAAACTGGAATGCTAGAAATAAATGGATTTTTTACTACAAATCTCCAGTTTTTGTTTTTGTTGTTGTTGTTGTTTTGGGGGGGAGGGGGCGGTTTGAGATGGTGTCCTGCCCTGTCTTCAGGCTGGAGTGCAGTGGTGCAATCTCAGCTCACTGCAATCTCCGCCTCCCGGGTTCAAGCGATTCCCCTGCCTCAGCCTCCCCAGCAGCAGCTGAGACACAGGCAGCACCACCACCCCTGGCTAATTTTTTGTATTTTAGCAGAGACAGAGTTTCACCCTGTTGGCCAGGATGATCTCAATCTCCTGATCTCGTGATCCGCCTGCCTCAGCCTCCCAAAGTGCTGGGATTACATGCGTGAGCCACCATGCCCAGCTCTCCAGTCATTTTTAAAGAAGAGCCCTTATTATTGTCAAACTATCAAATGGGCATTTTAATGACAATGGGCCAAAAATGCATGACGTTAAAAGCAATCCCTAAAGCAGTGAACATTCGGTAAACTCTGCAGTTGCGAGAACAAGCCTATCATTAAGGTTACTGTTTTAGGAGACAAGATTCTCATGTTTGCTGATCATAGAGCTCGTAATTACATCTCAGTGACAATTCCAAAATCAAAATATTTTTTAATATACTGGTTACAAAAGCATCAAGGAAAAACACTTTTTCTGGCTAGGTGCAGTGGCTCACGCTTGTAATCCCAGGTCACGGATCACCTGAGGTCAGGAGTTCGAGACCAGCCTGGCCAACATGGAGAAACCCCGTCTCTACTAAAAATACAAAAATTAGCTGGGCATGGTGGCAGGCACCTGTAATCCCAGCTACTCAGGAGAGTGAGGCAGGAGAATCGCTTGAACCCAGGAGGCAGAGGTTGCAGTGAGCCAAGATTGCGCCACTGCACTCCAGCCTGGGTGACAGAGCGAGACTGTCTCAAAAATAGAAAAAAAACTTTTTCCAAGAAAAGAGTTGAAAAAGCTTATCATCTTCTGCACATACCATACTCAATTTCCATTCCAGGGCTACATGAACTCCTCATCCAGGAACCCCCAAGCCCCGCCTGAGGCCAGTTCGTTCAACAATGCATATCCACACTGTGGCCACCTGGCACCGTCGGCTTCTCAAGGGCAATGAAGTGCTTGTACATACACCACCTCACAGCCAGTCACGTAGATCAAAACTCTGCCCCACACCTCCTCCTCGGCAGGGGTGAAACAGCGTCACTCAAGACCGCAGTGTCCTCTGCAGTGAAGGCTCAGTGCCCACCTGCTACACCAAGACTTTCGTTGCACTTGAAGCCTTTTTGGGAAAGTGTGGACCCTGCACCACCTGAATTCCAACCAGTTGGGGTTGCAGGGGAGGAAGGAGCTTCTCAAAAAGGCAGTCCTGGGCCTTGGCCCTGAACCTGAGAACATACTTGTGTAAGCCTGAGAACGTTTTATGGGTGCTCTCTGGTTTCTAGCTGTGGTGGTAGCTAACTCACTCCACTGGTCAGCACAGCCTTTACAGACTGTTTTAGCTGGGCCCAAAATAGCCTGGGGGAAAAAAAAAAGCATGTGTATTCTCAAATCCATCCCAAAGACAAGAAAATGGCTGGATTAGAAATTCAGTTTCTTCTTCCTAGAGATGAGCACTATGATGGCACCGTTTTAACAGACAGTCCCCACCTTCCTGTAGGTGGAGGGCCACCTCCTTGCAGGGATGGCAAATCCCCACACCAAGCCTCTCTGCTACCCTCTTCTCCCTCAAAGAGAATCAACCCCACCGAACAACCTGGGCAGGTGCCAACCTGGGCTCTCCTTTGGGGGCCTGACCCATCTCTCACCGCCATGGTGCCCCTCCCCTGCAGCTTCTGCCTCCAGTCACCCCCATGTTCTGTCCAAGCATTACTGGGGAGATGGTCTGTCCCCTGGAACTGCCAGATCTGTAACTGTCCCACATCCTAGGTCCCCCTCCCCCGTGGGAGGGCCAGCATCTCTTGGCTTACTTACAACATTTGATAAGTTTAAGGGTTTGAGTCCCATGTACAAACGGAAAATGAAATCAGGTGTCAACACCAAATTCCAGGCTCCCCTGACATTATCAATGACTACAACAGCCGGACCATTATTTCCCCACCGCTGGGGTCCTTTTCACCCTCCAGGAAATCAAGTGTCCCCTAAAAAGGCTGAGATCCAGATAGCCCCAGATATCAACTGTCTTAAGACACTTGGTATTATCCAACTTCCTCACTTTCCCCATGTTTCTGACCACCTCTGTGCTACATACCATTCATGAGCGAATTTCGGACCCATGTATTTCAACACCTGGCTGTTCCTGAAAAGGTATGAGGACAACAGCACTCAAAACCCACACACTACTGCCATGGGATAAGGGGGATCAGAGGCTTTTGGAGGGAAAACATATGAAGCCTTTAGGAGTGACTAGTTCGTAGCATTTAGTGACATCAACAAACCTCATTTCCTCGGCTGCACTAGCACACTCAAGGGAAGGGCGTGAGGATGTTTGTGTAACTGGCATTGGCTGAGACGACACCAACCTCCTGTTTTGGAACTCTTATGAATTTAAATCACGGCCTGAAATTCTTCACGACCCCAGTCAGCCCCTGTGCCTCAACTATTTTCAATGCGGGCAAGTGAGGTGTGAGTCAAAACAGATACAAAGGAAACTGGTCTACAGTGTGCTTTGGGCGCAGCTGGTGTCATGGCTCTAATGGAATTCAAGTTCACACTACCTATTCCCCATCAGAAATCGGCATTTGCTGGCAAAGTTGTTCCCCAGGCTCTGGATCTGGAGAAATTCTACACAAGAGAGTTCAGTGACAGCCAACTCCTGAATCTCACTGCAGCAAAACAGCACAACTAAAGGAAGAAAAGTCGAAATAAAGGACATCTTTTCTTCTAAGCCTAGTAAAGACCAACGTAACTGTTGGTACAGCAACTAATTCATGAGGACAAAGCTTTTCTTAACATGCCAGTCCTTAAAAAAACAAAGCCTCGCACAGTAATAGTAGCCAGGTGTTAGCCACTTTAATAGAAAATGTGATCAAAACTCGATTACAAGAGTTCAAAAAGTCATAGAAAACCAGTGAGTTTCAATTTTATTACAAGTTTTCAAATGTGGGACTAGTTTTTTTTTCTTTTAACTTAAATGCTAACTTCAGCCCAGGGTTTTTTCACAACCAAACTGAAAATTACTACATGGGAACATCAATGCAACAAACAAAATTTGTAAACTCAAGCCACAAACTTAATAATCATGGTAAGGGACATTGCCAAAGAGCAACTGATGCCTCAGTGAAGTTTGAAAGAAACTCTGCTTTCTGTGAAGGCAGAGAAGAAATATGCAAGCAATTCTGCTTCAAAGAAATTTGCATAGAAATGGAAAAATGCCAGAGCCTTTAACACAAGTGAAATTGCAAAGCCTCAACACGTTCAACTCAATCCACAGAGCACCAAATGTTTAATGGGAGCCAAGGTAGGACTGAGCATTGAACTTCCAGCTATGCAACTCACAGGGCACAATTTCGGGTGTGGAAACCATCTGTAGGCAAGCTCTTTTAAAAACATGAATTTTAGACACCGTAAATTCTAAAGCAGACACTTCTGCATTACTGTTCGAATTTCAGAAGGGCACCGCAAGGCACCAGGGGCTTTCAAAGTCACTCACGGCAACAATTGCATCTTCTTTTGCCAGCTTTGGGAGCCCCGTTCACAGTTGTCTAGCCTCTGCACTGCAGCATACCCGTTTGTAGAATAACTTCTGACATTAAATCCAGTCATGGCCTAAGTGGCATGAGGCAGCTATTTCCAGGGCACCTCCCATATCCTTGGCACGAGAGGCTTCCCAGTCACTTTTCCTTGGTGTCCCCCCTTCACCAGAGCCTCCAGAGCTCTTGCCATCAGGGGCTGCCATCGCTGGGCCCCACATGGGAGACCACATCTGGAAGCACTATTCCTCCAGCTCCCTCTGCTGGAGACGGAAGTGACAGTTTGTGGCAAAGACTTGTAGAAACATTACTTACACATTCATTTCTGTACACATTTAGTTAATTCAGAACCTGGGACTTTTACAATCGATTCCCCAAACCCCTTTATGGAGAGTGACGGACTATGCAGCAACGCTGAAGGAGCACCGTTTCTCTCTCTAGGAAGAAGATGATTAACAGACATAATTGTGTGTGTCAAATTTGTAATCAAAAAATGAAAGTAAGACGAATGGCCCAGAAACCCGCATTTTATTGACACTGTCATTTTCCCACAGAGAATCTTAGAAGATGTCACGTTTTCTTTTAATGAACGAGAGGAGCCCACTTGTATCCCTGAATCATTGTTTGAGAAAAGCAACATATACAACTGACAGTCACACTTTTTAAAATCAAACAGTCACTACCTTCAGCCCACACCTCCACACCGGCATCTGCCTCCCCAATGGCTGTCAGTTCTGTAAAGTCACCCTCTCCTTCTACTCTGGTATTACCACGAGAATTGAAACTTTTAAGCAGAAAAAAAGAAGTCAAGTTACAAATAAGTGAGTGGCGAACCAAGAGAAGCCCTTTGACTATGATTTCCAATTTTCTGTTCAATCCACACTGCAGAGATACAAGGATAAACCACCATTTTGGTTCCCAAGTTTTATTCAAGAACTCATACAAAATATTCCGGATAAATGAAATTTAATCCTCATCTTCCTCCTCTTCTTCGTCCTGGTTAATCTGGAAGTAACGTAATTCGTAACTCTCTTTGCTGTTAGCAACTACGCGCAACCAGTCACGTAGATTATTCTTCTTCAAATATTTTTTGGTGAGATATTTCAAATACCTGCAGAGAAAGGACATGAGAACTCCACTAGACAGCTGGTGCTTGCATCCTAAAACATTTTAACGTTTATAAAACCCAGCACTCAGAATCATTACAATTCAGGGTGTTTTCCAAGCCTCAAAAATGGCAAATACACCCAGCCAAGGCTCTGAGAGTATCAGCCGCGTGCCATCGACATTGGCAGTAACAATGAGAGTAGACTGGGCGCAGTAGCTCAGGCCTGTA